ATGTCCACGAAATAAAAACCTAAATAGTTACTTACAAATCATCTTTGTGAACTGTAATTCACAGGACAGCACTACTTTTACGGCACTTCTGTAGATATGAAATGTGATGAATTGTTCCCATTTGGTCTGACATACAACAAAGGCCAGCTTGCTGCATTTATATCTATACCCAAGAAAGGTGACCTCAAAGGTCCTTTTGAAAAAGTACCCGGACAAARGTTACGCGTGAGTAACAACAGCAAAAAAACAGTTTATGCAATATTGTCAGCATTAAGAACATGCAATGACAACTGCAACATGATTGACAGAACAACAGCAGCACTGAACAGCAACTTCAACAACGACACAAACGATAACAGCGCAAGAGCCAAGTAACAACAGCAACACCATAACTGGAAAAAATCGCGCGMTTTAAAGGTTGTACATTTGATGTAAATATGATGTAAGTGTCCAAAATTCTGTAAAGTTAATGTATTATTTTGTAAATTTAATGGAAATCATTTACATCAAATTTACAGAATTTTGGACACTTACATCATATTTACATCAAATTTACAACCTTAAAAGCGCGCGAATTTTTCCAGTGCATTAACAACATCATCAACAACAAAACAGCAACAACGACCGCGARRACAATGATAACAGCTACRATGACAAMAGRAATAATATGGGTATTTTCCAGAAAGGGTACAGCACCTCACAAAAGACATGAAATACCAAATATAAAGATCGGTCTACCCTTGCTACACCAGGGTGCAAGGCATTCGTTCTCAACAAATTAATACCAAAATACTACATGTGTATGAAGTCATATCCCCTTATGTATTTTTTTCTCTCTTTAAGTTCTTCTTCCAGAAGGAAACCTTCCCAGAGTGCCTGGCTTCATATGACAAAATGACRACACAGCACGTGTTTCTGAGCTCACCAATGAAAAACGTTTGCAATGGAACGGCTTTTTTTGGAATTTGCTAGTTAACATTGACTTAATAAATGATGCAATCATATGACGTAATAAATGCAAGGAGTTATGATGTTGTTTGACGTCATCTCCTTCTAAATGAAAAAAAAAACGGAAAACGACACTATTTTCCTTTTTTCTTTTATATTTTTTAATGATTCCTTTTTGTCTTTCAAAAGAGGTTAAACTTTGGATTATTGGATGTCAAAAGAAATTCTAAAACTGCTTTTAGAACCTGTTTTGTGAAAAACCGGCCATTTCGAATTGCAAGACATTGTCGGTCGTCCGCGAAGCAAAGTAAAACAAATCTTGGCCGTTGGATTCTTATAAGTCCATCATGTTCATTCATCTCTTAATAAATTAGTTCATGGCAAATTGCTTGCTATAATTGACGCAAAAATTCATATAAAAAATCTTTTTATATTTGRAACATTCCAAAATGCCTGCCATCGACGAACCTAGTCCATTTCTGGGGTAATAAGACCACTCGCACGAATTTTCACTAATTTTCTCTCTCTTTTTTTTGACTTCATTATCTGTATATTAATAAAGAACCAGTCGGTATTCACAAGGAAGTAAAGAGGAAGCAAAGATTAAGAGTTTATATAGATTTAACGACTTAATATGATAGCTAAAATCAGTTTGCGGCATTTTATATTCGTGTCATTGACTTTAAAACGGTTCTCGTAACGATGCCGATTGAAAAACCATCCTGACTTAGCAGCTTACTAACTTTACTGGTTATATTGAGTTGTGATATTAGTTTGTTGTTGTTTTTGAACGTTATCTTCTTATCAAATATCCCACAATATAAATATTGCTCTTTGAATTGAACGTTAGGGCATTGTTGTATTGGGAAGTGATAATCAGATYRTGATTGTGGGAGGAAGTTTAGARAATCCCTGASACCGATCAATGTCTTGGTATGRAGTTCAATATATATTTTTTAATTCGGCTCAATGAAAACTGTCACTTTAGTATCATTAGAAATTCATTATTCCATTCTCATTCTTTTTTGATATTTTTCACTTCTGTTTTCTGCATGTTGTTTCTCTTGAGAAAGAAATTATTATCATAATTTTTATCATTATTGTCATTATCATTATAATTACTATCATTATTATCATTATGTAATTATCATTATTATTATCATTATCCCTATTTAAAAAAATCATTATTAACATCATTATTGTCATTATCATTATCATTACTATCATTACTATCATTATTATCATTATGTTATCATTATTATTATCATTATCCCTATTTAAAAAATCATTATTAACATCATTATTGTCATTATCATTATCATTACTATCATTATTATTATCATTATTTATTGATTATCAATATCATTATTACCATATCATTGTTATCATAATCATTATCATTATCACAAGCTCACAAGAACTGTAAACAAAAAGTTGTTTTCCTCCAAGAAAAAAAGATCAATCTCAACAAACGTCATCGGATTACAGAATATGAATTCCATAATCATCAGTATCCGTCATAATACCAACGCATACACTATCAACAACCAGTATATAATGACGGGGCTATGACCTAAGGTGTTGGTATTCTAGAAGTGCACTTGCGGTCATYGCTAGCCACAACACAAGGTACCATATACGATCATATATACTTTGTTTCTGGGTATTTTTGAAMGCATTACTTTTGTTATTTTTCCATTCTTAATTAATAGCTGCTTGTTCTGTCTGAAAGGCGTGTTTGTTTGGTTGAGTTATATATGAGTTTATATGTCGATCAACTAAATGACTTTTATGTCAGAGTATCAACATGTTTTTACTTTGGCACCAGTTTATTATCGTAGCATCTGTATTCTCATGTCGTTGTTGATTGTCCTCTTTCCCTTAAGTTTAATTCTCCTCTTTTACTATTCTCTGTTCAGTTATTTTTTCCGGCTTTTCCTTTTGCTCCTCTCCACTTGTSTTCAACTTAAATGTTTTTCCTTCATTATATTCACATGTCCSTTCTTCCCTTGTTTTTTCGTACAGTTTAGCATCTTTTTTGCCTCTGTAATTTTTGTCTTCTCCTACTATACTGTATTTAATTCAGGTTCTCACTCTTCCCTTTCTGTTTTTCTTCTGCTAGCTTCTTTTTATCTTTTACTTCTTCCTTTTCTTTCACTTCGTTTTGTATACTGTCGTCTTTTCAATGCAACATATCTTTAGTTCATCAAACCGCTGTAATGAGCTAGTAATCCCCAGTAAGTATAAGCCTCTTTATGTCTACCCCACGAAGTAGGTCATTATAACTATGTTTGCCTCATATTCCTACTTATTAGACTACTAATCAAGGGAAATTGAAGTTTACAACAAATAAAACAAGGCTCAAACACCTAGTAAATGTTTATCGTTTAAAAAACTTTATATATCTGTTTAAGAACTTTCCATAAACACATATTTGTCATTATTAATTTCATTTTTTTTTCATATTATATTGTTTAGTCAGCTGTTGGAAACATTTCCAAATTTAATTTTAAAGTTACTAGTTTAGTGTTTTCATAGATTATATCCCATTTGAAAAATCACCTACTTTGAGATTATAACTTTTGACACCTCTTAGAAAGAAAAAGAGAAGCTCTAAACTAAAACATGCCSTCGGCAGTGCTTCTATTATATCTTRTKGCGAACTCTAGTGAAGCGGAATTATTAGCTTTTGACCCTATTGCACAAAGCGCTGTCAGAATACTTTTAAAGAATATAGAACATCCGCCTCCTAGATGAATTGTAA